ATATTATATCTAATATTGCAGTGTTCGGTTATCGCTATGACATTAGTTACGTTACCACGATTACTTGTTTCTCCATTTACGGTTAAAGAGACAATATCGATCGCTATAGTTTATAGACACATGATACTTTAAAGAGACAGATTACCGTTGTTACGTCGTCACGTTATTTCACGTTATTATCTTATTATGTTCTTTTTTTTTTGTTCTTTTTCATTTACTTCGTGTGTCGTGTACCCGAGTTACTTCGAACGGTGTGTGTGTACATGTGTATGCGTGTGTATGTACGTGTGCGAGTGTAATTAAACCTTAACTTCCCGCCCTCGTCTTTTTCTTTTTTTTTCTTTTTTTGTTAACGAATACATCCATTACAGATTATGGAAAACTATGCGTAATTTCTTATTTTTTTTCTTGTTTGTTTGTTTCCTGGCTTACAAAGTGTTTCATTACAATCGTATTGTAATCGTATAATACTTATAAGTTTATCTTTTGTATATCTCAATGTATGCTCTATCAATAGATCCCGTCGTCCATTTTTACACGCTTCCTTCTCCTTCGATTTCCATTTCAATCCCGTGCCATTTTCTCTGCCGTTAAAAAGAGTATACATCGTATGTGTACGTATGCGTGTGTACATCCGTGTATGTGCATGCGTGTGCGTGTGTGTACGTGTGTGTATGTGTCCGTGTGTTTGATTCTTCGCTGAGCTGAGCCTCTCGTCTCAAGCCGAGATCCACATTTGATTCGCAACTTATTGCAACGCTTGCCTCCCCTCTCGTCCCATTCCGCTGTCATCGATTTATTTTCGAGTCGCGACGCCTCGAGACGCTAGGACCACCATTCACCGCGCGACAAGTCTAATAGGATCTTCTTCCGTTTCGGACGAGGATCTCCAAAGGTCCGAATAGGAGCTTCTGTTCGCGATTACAAAGATTAGAAAAATAATCGGCGCGAGGAGCTGTCTCTCCCTCTCCGATGTCCGTCCCCGTCGTCTCGAAGCTGTTCGCGATCTATCGATCATTCTTTCCTCCGATCGCGAAAGTTGTCCCTTTTCGCGAAGAAAATCGACCATTTTTTACCGTGTTGCCCGATGAACGCAACACGACGACGAAACACCGCTGGATGGACGTTGGTTTCGTTGAAAATCAACCTTCAAAAGTCCCTAATCTCGATCACTCTTTCATCGACTTCTCTTTCTCTCTCTCTCTCGCTCTCTACTTCTCCCTTACGCTCTCTCTCTCTCGCGTGCTTTCTCTCTCTCTCTCTCCCTCTCTTTCTCTCTTTAACAATAGCAGGTACTAGCATAGCTACCACAGTCGTACGTATCGTTAATAGTTACAATTAAGTTTAGATATTACTAAAGGGTACTGTTCTCTCGCCTTGTCCCCCTCGCCTCTATTCCCTCGCGGATCTCGCCCCTTTCTACTACCCTTATTAGTTCCGCAGTTTAAAAACTTGTTTAGCACCCCCGCGCGCGACCGGAAACACCGTCTGCCGACTTGCTCGCTCGTCCACCCTTTATTTATAGGAAGTGACCGTTTTAACATCGACTGATCGTTGATCGATCTTTTACAATTAACATCGCTGGTAGACGCTGAGAACAGTTTTTTTTTTTTAAAGAGGAAACATTCTTAATTCGAGTAACAGATTTAGATAAAAGTATCGGTCACTTCTTATGAAGAAACGCACGCCGACGTTCGTCGATCTCTCGCTTCGCGTTCAGACGGAACACTGGTCAATAACGGCCAGCAGTACCGGAAGCTGCTCGTCGGTCACATATACAAAACGGGCTATATCAAAAATTCGTACGAAAAAACGATGAGAAACGTCACGCTTAAAATTATACTACACGCTGACGCGTTCACGAGTGACGCTAAGGTAAGAAAACTAGTCTAAGGAGAAGAGGACTCGCGGCTGAACCGAGCGGATCGATCGACGAAAGCCGTGTCCTTCCTCGCTATACAAGTGTCGGTGGTTTTTCATTCGCTCGCGAGCTGGTCGACAGTTTTCGATCGCGCGTATTCCGTACGTTTGTCCCACGACGACAAGATTAAACACTGTTTTTTTTGTTCTTTTTTTTTTAATACTTTTAGCACCTAGTGCCCGGCCCGCGGCTCGCGGCACCTCCGCCGTCGTTGCTGTCTGCCGGAAGTCCTTCACGACGGACGGACACGGTTCGAGAAGCCAAGGATCGAATCAACTTGAAGGTTCGTCGCTGGATACGAACATGGAGATCTCGCGATTATCTCGCACAATGGCTTTTACAAATCATCTTCTTGGAATTCGCGAGTTTAATCTTCTCTGACTCGTGCTTGAAGTAGAATCAATTACTGTATCCTAGTTCGCTCAGGTTCCGTCACTTTATCTTTCCTCTATGGTATTTCTAATTAATTGACTACACGTGGTTTGGAAACTAGGTCAGTGCTTCTGAATGTCCGCGAGTTAAACTGTCTCCTGATTGGTTTTATTGACTCAACCAATTGCTCTAACTTCTTAACGTATTTTTCAAAACTATCATATTTTACCATGGAGTAGCATATTTCATAGAAAATTACAGAAAACTTCAAAAAACGGTGAAAGTTAAAGGGATATCTTTGTATCAATATCATCGAAGAACGATGAGTCATGTTTAAACTAGACTAGTCAAAGCACCAGTTGAAGATTAGTTTCCTTTATCGAAAAAAATTTGTAAATAAAATTCGTGGCATCGGAAGATCTCGCATCAACTTCCAAGGGTATCAGAGGGATCTGAACCGTAGTCCGGCCGTCGAGGACAGCAACGAAGGACTTAATAACGTAATCACCTAATTAATCTCGCGAACGCAAACCGGCTGGCTGCGCGCTCCCCACGGCTAACCGTCGACACCCTTGTTTCCCTAGGACGCCCTCGGCCCTTTGTCTTCGATTTCAACGATCTCCGAACGCTCCCGAACTTTCCGCAGAATCGAAAGTTACGACACGGAAGTTTGGACAGGTCGGCCACCTCCTCTCCAGAGCCAAGAGAGGATCGATGAGACAGCGAGAAAATTAAAGACGAGCTCTCGAGGCTCGATAGCACGGAATTAGGAAAGTTCGTCGATTCTCGACCGGTTGTCAGCAACTTGGACGACTGCTCGATGACTCTGGAAGAGCCCGATGAACCGCTCGGACCTTCAGCGTCCAAGGGAAATCCACGTCCGATCGCGACGAGGGAGTTTCGCGCAACGCAGCCGCATTCTCGTTCGCGGCGAACATGCCGCCATTCGTTTCCTTTTCTACTCTTCTCCTCCTTCTTCGCTTTCTTTTTTTTCTCTCTCTCTACACTCTACTGCATTTATTATAAAAATAAAATGTAAAATCGTACCGAGGACGAGTTTTCCGAACGGTATGGAACCGCGAGCACCATCTGCGATTCGATCGAATCTTTCGTGGATTCTCGCCCAGCGGCTGTCACTTTCCTGTTTCGTATTCGTTTCCCTCGATCGTCGTAGAAACACGACGGTAACCGGGTGTTTCGATGCTCCCGTGGTCGTATCAAGCTTTCGACGCGAACGAGAAGAATACACGAGCGGTCGTCAAAACGTTCCCCGTTGGGCGTTTCTGTTTCGTTTCTGTTTTTTTTTTTTTTCGTTCGTCGACGCATCGGCAGCGGCTACAAGTAGTCCCTAACCGTTTCGCGAGAACCCGCCAAGTGAGTGCATATCTTGAATATAATACATAGGCTCTACAGATATATTCATTATCAATTCTCCGACTATACCAGTGAAAAAATAAATTATTACGCGTTGGTAATATCTGTGTACGTGTTGGTGAAGTCGTGCGCGATAAAGTGTCCACCCCCAGCCTGGCCGGTGTGTGCCCGGCTGATCGTCCATCAGGAGGGGTGCTGTGTGTACCGTACGTTATGTATACAATGTGTGTCGCCAGGTAAATGGTGGGTGAGAGTGTGTCCGGTTGCGTGTGAAATCTGGGCCTGTGTGGAATCTTTTTTTTTCTGTTACGTACTCGTGTGTGCACGTGTGTGTTTCTCTTGGCTCTTTCGCTGTCCCAGGTGTGGGCGCACGGCGTCGTTCGTTCGACTCGTTACTCTGGAAACCGATACGTTGGTCCGTGTCATTCCGTGTCCGTGTTCGTCTCGACTGGCTGG